CCCAGACAGCCACTGGCTGCCCAGAGACACCTGCAGGCGAGCCCTGGAGCTGCAGGTCCTGGGTCCAGCGTCACAGTGCCACCTGAAGGTGCTCGAGTCCCAGACAGCCACTGGCTGCCCAGAGACACCTGCAGGCGAGCCCTGGAGCTGCAGGTCCTGGGTCCAGCGTCACAGTGCCACCTGAAGGTGCTCGAGTCCCAGACAGCCACTGGCTGCCCAGAGACACCTGCAGGCGAGCCCTGGAGCTGCAGGTCCTGGTTCCAGCGTCACATGAAGGTGCTCGAGTCCCAGACAGCCACTGACTGCCCAGAGACACCTGCAGCTGAGCCTGGAGCTGCAGGTCCTGGTTCCAGCGTCACAGCGCCACCTGGAAGTGCTCAAGTCCCAGACAGCCACTGACTGCCCAGAGACACCTGCAGGCGAGCCTGGAGCTGCAGGTCCTGGTTCCAGCATGACAGTGCCATCTGGAGGTGCTCGAGTCCCTGACAGCCACTGGCTGCCCAGAGACACCTGCAGGCGAGCACTGGAGCTGCAGGTCCTGGTTCCAGCGTCACAGTGCCACCTGAAGGTGCTCGAGTCCCAGACAGCCACTGAATGCCCAGAGACACCTGCAGGTGAGCCCCGGAGCTGCAGGTCCTGGTTCCAGCGTCACAGCGCCACCTGGAAGTGCTCAAGTCCCAGACAGCCACTGACTGCCCAGAGACACCTGCAGGCGAGCACTGGAACTGCAGGATCTGCTCCAGCTCCACAGTGCCACCTGGAGGTGTCCTGGTCCCTGACAATATCACTGAGCACCAACGGTCGCTTCCTTCCCTAACTGTGTTTTTATTTCATCCATGCATCCAATGACTGGTATATTCATGGAGACATTTCATCTGCCATGCTACTTAGACTCCCTCTAAATCCTTTAATTTCATTAGCCGCGCTTGGCTTGTTCCACGGGGGGATAAAACAGATTAGGTAAAAACAGCTTGGATCGTCTGACTCGGGTGTATTTTCATTGGCAAATGGAGCACGAGGGAGCTTGTGGCTCGAATGGAAAAACACTCGGCGTCTGTGGGAATGGAGGGATAAGCTCATTTAAAGTTGCACGCGGCGAATGAATGCGCTCCCGATGCAGAAACGAGCCGAGCCGCAGGTTTTGATGCCGCCCGCTCTAATGTAGGGAGGTTTCTGTCCGCCTAATGCGCCCTGTAAATTACCAGGAGTGAGTCAAATGCAGTAATGGGAGAATGAGTTATCTAAATATCCCAAATGACTTTGCTTATCCGGAACCCTCCTAATCTAATTTGCGGCTGAAACGGAGTTCACGGCTCGTTCGAAGTACGCTGGCTTACCCCGGCTCAGGAAATAAGAGGGATTACCAAATGGTACAAGGAAAGATCTGGGGGAGGAAAAAAAAAATTTGTGGCTCAATTTACTAAGCTATAATGATCATCATTTCCCATAATAAATGGTATTTTTAGCAGGAAGAGCCAGTGAGAGCTGAGCTTCAGTCACATGACTGAAAATAATGATCGTCATGGTAAACAACATAAGCGGTACGGCTAAGTGAATTAAGCCAGTTAAAGTCTACGTCAAGGCCAAATTAAAAAATATTGTTTGTACATATCTGCAATCAGGGTCGTCCCTGCTGCCTCTGTCGGCATCTCTTTGGGTCACATGGGGGGCAGCAGGCACAGCGGCAGTGTGCCTGCCATTCCCTTTACAGCTAGAGAGTCCCAGGTTGCTAAGGGCTCTTAACAACCTGGGATGCTCTGGCCGGTGTCCTGCTCAGCTCCTGGCAACCAGTGATGTCAGTGAGATGGGCGGAGCCCTGGCCAGAGTGTCCTGTCCAGCTCATGGCAACCAGTGATGTCACTGGTTGCCAGGAGCTGAGCAGGACACTCTGACCAGGGTTCTGCCCAGCTCCTGGCAACTAGTGATGTCAGCAGGGGCGTAACTAGAAATCACAGGGCCCCCATGGCAAAATGTTGTATTGCCGTTGCAGGGCCCACCTGAGATCCCAAACAGCCCACCTGAGAGTGACCCTGCAGACCCCACCATAGACTCTCCATGGTGGGCTCTGTAGGGTCTCTGGTTGGCTGGTGCATGTGTGGATTTGCGGACAAGGGAGAGCACAGTGCGCATGTGCAGATTTGTGAACGAAGGAGCGCATTCCGTCCAAGTGTGGATTTGTGGACAAGGGAGCGCACACTGTGCACGTGCAGATTCGTGAACAAGGGCGCGCACGCCGTGCATGTGTGGACAAGGGTGAGCACATTGCACATGTGTGGTTTTGTGGACAAGGGAATGCACACTGTGCAGATTCGTGAACAAGGGCGCGCACACCGTGCATGTGTGGACAAGGGTGAGCACATTGCACATGTGTGGTTTTGTGGACAAGGCAGTGCACACTGTGCATGTTGTGGGGGTATAGCTCAAAATGGGGGATCACCTTCCCTGGGAAAAAGGCAGTCAAGGCAGCAAAAGTTATTTTCAATCTGACTTGCCGTCAGTGTTTTTATGTAAAAGGTTGCAATAAAACAAAATAAACCAGAAAACAAATCCTTGCCATCCAGGCTCTGACTACACAGGCCGGTTTCCTCCCTACCAGGGGGTGGAGCTTATCACAGCCACCTCACAAAACACAAGTACTATTCAGCAAACTTTTACTTACACACATCCAACGTGTAGCTCACGCTCTCTCCCTCTCCCTCCCTCTCCCTCTCTCTCTCCCTCTCTCTCTCTCTCTCTCCCCCTCTCTCTCTCACCCTCCCTCTCTCCCTTTTATCTCACCTGGACAAGCAATCAACTAACCAGGTGAGAGACACAAAACCCGAGCTGGACTATCCAGACCCAAAGTCAGCCCGAAACCCTGGTCAGGGTTCCGCTATTCCTGCACATAGGATAGAAAGCGAGGGGAAACATACCGCCCCTCAATGACGTCTCCTCTCCTTATGTCACAATGTTTATATTCCTGAACAAGGGAGTGCACACCATGCATATGCAGATGTGAACAAGAAAGCGCACACTGTGCATGTACACGTTTGAGAATGAGCAATACAGCAGCTTCATGCTCATTACCGTGATCAGTGGGGATCAGGCGCGCTGCATACACATGTGCTAACAAGCAATATGATGACTGGAGGACAGAGCAAAGTTCTGACCTTATCCGGGTATTCATTGTCCAATATTATAATGATAATGGAAACGTTTCCAAAGCCTACAAGAAGCTGCAATGTCCCACGCTCCATTAACCCCTTCATGACTGAGCGAGTTTTCAGTTCCTGTTCATAAATGACTGACACGCTTTTTACATTGTTGCTGTGTGATTCTTCCACGTCAGTAATATAACTTTCTTACTAAATGTCCCCGCACATATTATATACTGTTTTTTAGAGGACAGATAGGGCGATATAATTATATCAAACATGTGTGTACCTAACACCTCACTTAGTTTGAATCAAATATAAAACTTCTGCCCGTCCAAGGTGGGCAGATCGTACGGGCTTTCAAGAAGCATACGACCATCGCAAGACAAAAGTCTTGCTATGGTCGTAAGGTGTATGGGCACCTTATAGCTCTTTGATGGTGCCTAGACGATCAGAAATGATACATTTCAAGCAAAGAGATATACATTGTATATCTTGTATCTCTTTGCTTGAGATGTATCACATAGCTTCATAAACATCAGGCCAGTCTATGGAGCTGTCAAAACAAATAGCAGGGAGGTGAGTCACTCTGCTGCCTCTCTGCTATTTTCAGCTGTCAAATACGGGATCGCTATTTAGCGCTCCCGTATTTGCATGTAACGGCTTCATTCTTTCATTAAAGGAGAACTATGACATGAGTGATTTTCACTCACCTCATAGTTCTAGCCGACCTGTGACAATGAGACTGTCACAGGTCGGCTCAGTTGATCGGGAGGTGAGCGAACACATACCGGCGTTCGCTCGCCTCTCGATCCTGTCACGGCTCTCTGCCGTGACAGGGGGAGGGGCTGGATTCCCCTCTCCACCGCTCCGATCTGGCGGAACGGACGGGGGAGGGGGCGGGTACAGCTGGCTCTGCCTCTAGATAGGCAGAGCCAGCTGTCACTCACGCAGCTGGGCGGATCTCGACGTCCATGTCGGGATCCGCTCCGGCTGCGGCGTCTCAGTATACCGCGAGCTGTAGCTCCCTATATACTGAGCTTAGGGTGACGGGAGGACGCTAGTTTGTGTCCTCCTGTTACCCTAAGGAGAACTATGGGGAAAACACTGACCCCATAGTTCTCCTTTAATGAAAGAAATAAGCTTTTACAAAAGCTTAACTATTTCATCAAAGAATGTCTCAATACTGAGGCATTCATTGATGACTGGTAACCGCTGAGAATCAGCAGTTACCGGCATTACAGAGCCCAGATATAACTCGTCACGTACACTGTACGTGGCCAGTCATATAGGCACAAAGTGCCGGGGCGTACAGTGTACGCCTCCCGTCACGAAGGGTTAAAATGTGTCATTCGAGGAGGAAGAGGTTTTATTTGACATTTTACAACATTTCAGTCTGAGGAGATGCAGCCGTATTACTGGGCAGCCTGCGAGGCCTCCGTCAGGGTAAGCCCCAATCATCGGCTGGCATTACAGGCGTTCTTGACCCCCCCCCCCACAGATACTAGGGAAGCAGAGCAGCCATGCAGATCTTCCATTATCACCCCGGTGTCTGCAGGAGCGAGACAGAGAAGCAAGAGGAGGAAGAGCAGAAAAACAGCAATAAACTCGGTAAAACTTACAGGGAATCTTGTACAAGGCCGTAAATTCGAGTCAAGTGAAGATGGAAAACCACTTTGGCCGTATATTTTCAGTTTACTGCCTCTCATTTGTGGTTGCTGAGTTCACCGTGAACAATAACTCCCCGTTGTCGAGCTCTCTCTGGGTTGCAGTCGGTATTGCTGCCTCTGGCTCCACAGAGCCAACGGATGATAAAATTACAGCTATGGCACAGCGGAGCGTTAAAGTATCCATTAGTTGACTCACCCTATTATCTGAACTGGGAGCCATGGTATCCGTCATCCAAGCTCCAAACCGCGACCCCGAGGCACGTATAGTGATTGGGTTACTGACGCCGGTGAGCTTGCCGCAGCCTGCAAATGAAAAAAAAAAGGGGAGCCGGTGAAGTGATTTTGTGCTGATGTTTCTAGACGGAGCCTAGCGCTATGCTTCTCTGAGCACCATCTCCATGGTAAAGGATGGCGTATGGATGACCGTCGGGGACTTTTCCTGAATTACTTTAAACGTCAAGGATTTTTCACTTCTTTCAATGTCTATGAAACCTTAAAAGCTAAGAAAACGTAATCCAACAATATAATTTCATCCATGTATGGCTTCCAATACCATCTCCATGCCGATGACACTCACATCTATCTCTCCACTCCTCAACTCCCCCCCCCTCAGTGTCCTTACGTGTCACTAATCTACTAACTGTTCCCATGCTCGCCTCCAGGACTTCACTAGAGTCTCTCCCATCCTATGGAACTCTCTACCCCAACCTGTCCGTCTATCTCCCCCTCTGACTGCCTTTCGGCGATCACTAAAGACTCATCTCTTCAGGGAAGCCGATCCCAGCTCAACCTAACCACTGAACCATCATGTTCTCAGACAATTCATCCCCACACAGCTCCCTCCTCATGTATCACTTGCCCCTCCCTTCTAGATTGCAAGCCCTCAGGGGCAGGGCCCTCCTTACCATCTTGTTTTGTATTATGATTGTAACGTCTTCTTTATATTGTACAGCGCTGCGCAAACTGTTGGCGCTATATAAATCCTGTATAATAATAATAATAATAATAAAGGGTTAGTTGACCGTTTTATAAAAAAGATGAACTTAGTCACAACAACCTCCAAACTTCTCTACCCCCTATACGGTCCCTGCTGGACTTACCTGCAATGATGACCGTCTTCCCACCACCTACTCCCGCATGGAACTTGAAAACTTCACTACACAACCCCAGCAGCTGTACAGCAACATCATCAGGGCTTGAAAATGAACTCGTCCTCTCGTCTGTGACGAGAGGACGCCGGTGCTGGACGAGTCACAGCGGGTGCCGGTTTAAATAGTAACCAGCGTACTAGCGTACCGGAGAGGCCCACTGCGCATCTCGCGTATCCTGTCAGCAGCGCGGCGCTGCAAGGCTATAGTCCGGTCATGCTGAATGGTGAAATTTTTGACTGACTGGTGAGACACCCTAAAGCCCTGAACATCATGCTTGCAATGGGGAGTGGTTATTGGGCAACAACGCCAAGTGGCCATGCTGACCAATGAGGATCTCTTCTGGGATGCCGTCACAGAAGAAAGAAGGCTCAGAAGAGATTCTCACATGGTTTCAGTATGGTCACGTGGCCGCGTTGACCAATGACCACTCCCAACTGCAAGCATTATATTGCTATACAGCCTCTGGGGCTGTGTAGTGAAGTTTGTGAGTGCTGAGAGCAGTATATGGGCCAGCGTAGGTGGTTGGGTGATGGTCATTATTGGATGTGAATGTAGTAGGAACCATTCATTGGGCCCATTCATGCCTTACTGTTGTTAATGCACATTATGTTACATGCCACCGGGCATTAGAGCACCCCATTTTTTTTATAAAGCAGTGTACCACAACACACGGTACGTTCCTTTTGCACATTGGGGTGCCATTGAAAATGAATGGCAATGCAGTGCACTAATGCATGCATGGTGCATTGTCATGCACTGAGGTAACGCACTTTCCTGCAGCACATGTCTGGTGCCTCTATAATATCCAATCCCAGGAGCAGGATGCTGCAGATAAGACCACTGCTCTCTGTGTGAAAGCAGCGGACTCTCTCCAGCAGTTTGACATGCCCGACACTGAATCAGACCTACAGTCCTGCAATCAGCAAAGCTCACAATCCCTGCTGATCATAGTGCTATAGGTCTGACACAGCAAGGGGCATGTTGTACCACTGCAGAAAGACCATAGAGCTATAATCTGGGCTCAGCAAGGGGCACGTTGGACTGCTGCAGGGTTATAGGTCTGGGTTAGAAAGGCGCATGTTGGACTGTTACAGAAAAACTGCAGCGCTATCGGTCTGGTTCAGCAAGGTGCATGTTCGACTGCTGCAGAGAGACTGCAGCGCTATATGTCTAGGTGGAAGGTCTATAGGTATAGGTGGAAGGGGCATGTTGGACCACTGCAGAGAGACTGCAGTGCAATAGGTCTGGCTCAGCAAGGGGAATGTTGGACCACTGCATAGAGACTGCTGCTTTCACATATCTGTAGCCTTCTGCCCAAGGGATAGGATGTTATACCAGTGCTTGAGCTCAATTAATAAATTAGTAAAAGTAAATGTATAAAGCTGTATAGTGGTCTGCTGCACCTTCACTGTCCAATCAACAGGCTACAAACAGCTTTGAACAACCAACTTGTAAAACCAGATCTGGGACCCCCATGTGGCTGGGTGCTTGGGGCAGACCTGTCCTGGTATTACCTCTGGGGACAGGGACGTATCTGCCACTCGGCAAACACAGTGTTTGCCTTGGGTGGCACTTTCCAGGTGGGGCGGCAAAAAAACAGTCAAGCAAGTCGAGCTGCACAGAATTTGGACAGCAGGACAAGGAGACAGAGGTGGAGGCGAGGAGAGGAGGAGGAAGAGCGGAGGAGGACCAGCAGCAGCAGGGAGGGAGCGGGTCCAGATCCCCATCAGGGGGCGGGTCCAAATCCCCGTCAGGCGATGGAGGATGCCAGTCCCGAAGCGCCAGTTGGGCGCGGAGGAATCCGGCACCTGGAAGTGCCAGTCGGGTGGTAGAGGAGGCTGGGTGGTCCGGCGGTGAAGAAAGCCAGGTCCAGCAGTGGGTGGCAGATGCAGGTAAGTGGATCACACTGCTGTTAAAGGGACCCTGCAGGGCCCAGCACAGATTCTGCACAGCCCACCTGAAAGTCTCAGGTGGGCTCTGCAGGATCTGTGGTGTGGTCTAGGTGGGCTCCGTGGGGTCTCGGAGGGGGGCTTTGCAGGATCTGTGGTGGGCTCTGCATGGTCTATGGTGGGCTTCGTAGGGTCTCGGGGGGCTTTGCAGGATCTGTGGTGGGCTCTGCACGGTCTATGGTGGGTTATGTGGGGTCTAAGGTGGGCTCTGTGGGGTTTATGGTGGGCTCCGTAGGGTCTCAGGGGGACTTTGCAGGATCTGTGATGGGCTCTGCAGGGTCTATGCTGGGCCCTGCAGGGTCTCTCATGGACTCCGCAGGGTCTCAGGGGGCCTTTGCAGGATCTGTGGTGGATTCGGCAGGGTCTATAGTGGGTTCTGCGGGTCTATAGTGGACTCCGAAGAGGTTTAGGGGTGCTGTGCAGGATCTGTGATGGGCTCTGGAGCCTACACAGCCCTCCCGAGACCTGCAGTGCACACCAGAGATCCTTCACAGCCCACCTGAGACCTTGCAAAGCCCATGATAGACCCCGCATAGCCCACCACAGATCCTGCAAAACCCCCCTGAGACCCCAGATTTCCTGCTATGCCAATAGCGGAACATGTCAAAAGCTGGATACAACGTGTGCGCTGTATCCAGCGACTGACAGGTTATGCAAAAAGTCAAAAACAGAAAGGGGTGGGGCAAATTTAGTGGTGGGGGGGGGGGCATCCGAGTTTTGTCTTGCCCAGGGCAGCCCCAAACCAGAATACACCACTGTGTGGGGTACCTAAGGACATGGAAGATTTCTATTTTACCAGAAACCCTCATTTCCATCTAATGGCATATCCCCATTTTATAGCTATTTATATTATTACTATTTACATGTGATGGATGACTATTGTTGCAATTATTGCCGCGGTTGTTATTGTGTAGCAGGAAGCACCGAGCAGAGCATTCCATCAACGGCTTGTAAAAACGCCGCCTTGGAGAATAATAATTTTTTGCTTCGTTTTACGAGGCTCTGCGATGAAACAAGCCGCAGCCCATCCCGGGCCACCGTCAACAGTAACCTGTGACCCCCTGGAACGAGCTCATCTATAAAACCAATTACCATCGCTGGTTTTTAAATCCCCCGATGTTCTAATCATATTGTTTGACTTTCTGCCTTCCAATTAACTTAGACCTTGCTCCAGTAGGTTCCTCTCCAGCTGGGGAGCACATAAAAAATCATCTACTTTTAGCACATTAATATTTGATGTTTTTCCAAGTCTGAATTGCTTTCAGAGAAGAAAGAAAGAAAAGACCCGGAGAGACTGAGCGGAGGGGCTACATGACTGGGGGGAGAGGAATAGTCCCGGGAGAAAGAATTAAAAATAAAATGGCAATAGCTGCTCTTCTGCTCTTACCTGATTGGACGTGGGAGTCAGGTGCCCGGGAGGAGCCGCATGGGAAGGAACTGCGAGGGCTGAGGGACGTCCTCTTTCTGGAAATCGACGAAGGAAGCAGGTTGTCCCACCCTCCCTCCCTGAATCTTGGGGTTATGGGGGTTGTGGGGTTCGTTTGTCACGGCAGCTTGTCAGGTTAGGGGGTCTTTGAGGGGGTCTACAAAATCAGAGTTGATTACAAAAATGGGGAGCCCTCAGCTGGTATGGGTGCTTCCCCCTGTTGGTGTCCGGGTTTGTAAAGGGCGGGGCCTAGCCCCTTGGGAACCTGGAAGGAGTAAGTGTCCTCAGCTGGTTGTGGTGCGGCTGGGGACATGGGTAGAGTGATACGAAAAGGCCTTTTTGGGCTGTTGGGCACCCAAAGACCCCTTCTCAGGTCAACCAAAAAGACCCTCCAAGTGCGGAACAATACCTGTTGACAGGCCCGTCTTTAACGCAGGGCAAAAGGGGCAGTTGCCCTGGGCCCAGTTATTGTTGTGGGGCCCAAAGCAGCCGCCCCTTGAGCCTGCACCGCTCGCTCCCTACCTGGAGATGCGGGATGTCAGTGTCCCGTCCCTTCTCCCTCCCTCACCCTCTTGGTTTCCCTTATCAGCCCAGAGATAAGACAGACAGCAGAGATCGGCAGATCGGGACCTTTGTCTGCTCTGCCTAGCAACTGACATCGGGGGCCCAAGAAAATGTTTGCCCAGGGTCCAATCAATATTAAAGACGGCCCTGCCTGTTGATCTGACACACACACAGGTTGGTTCGACTTGATGGACCTGTGTCTTTTATTCATCCTTATCCACCTTGTAACAGGTAGCACAGTGGCTCAGTGCTTAACACTTCTTCCTTGCAGCACTGGGGGTCCCTGCTTTGAATCCCATTCAGGACATATCTGCATGGAGTTTGCATGTTCTCCCTGTGCTTACATGGGTTTCCTCCCCAACCTGTCCGTCTATCTCCCACTCTGACTGCCTTTAGGCGTTCCCTTAAGACTCATCTCTTCGGGGAAGCCGATCCCGCCTCAGCCTAACCGCTCAACCATCACGTTCTCAAACAACTCCTCCCCACACAGCTCCCTCCTCATGTATCACCGGCCCCTCCCCTTTTAGATTGTAAGCCCTCAGGGGCAGGGCCCTCCTTACCATCTTGTCTTGAATTGTATTGTGATTGTAATGTCTTCCTTATATTGTACAGCGCTGCGCAAACTGTTGGCGCCATATAAATCCCGTATAATAATAATAACATGTAAGCGTCACGGCTAATAATCATACATACCCAACTTCTGCATGCAGGCATGTAAGCGGGCCTCCAGAATCATGACTCGTTGTTGCAGCTCCTCGTAGTCATAGGCCCCCATCTCCTCCTGGATCAGCAGTAGAACGTTGGAGAGGTTCCTCACCTCCTCTTTTAACTGGACAATCATCTTGGTGTCTGACTTGTATTGGTCAAGAACCGGGATCAAAGGTAACAGCTGTTTCATCTTATCCTTTAGCTCCTGCAAAACAAAAAGTAGAATTCGCTTTATTTCACTTGGAATGCCAGAAGGCCGACATGCTAAAACATTGTATAAAAAAAGGAATACTGGTGATATGAATTGGTGAGGAGGAGGAGGAGTCACAGATAGAGATCATGGCTTTACGAGGTAACAACAGAACTGGAGTGCAGGTACCTGGTGGTGCCAACAACACCTTGTGTCAGTCTTCAGGTCAATCCCTTTGTACATGTGGAGCCCCTTAGATCCTAGGCCCAGGCTGTACATAGGGACTCAACTTCTTTAAGTCAAGATTATGCCCCTCTCCCCCCAGCATTAAGCCACATCACCCCAACCTTACTCTATCCTCAAATGCCGGAGCTTCTCCTGTCCACTGAGCCTCTGACATTTGGCCGTTGAGTGATAAGCATACCTGGGAAACTTTTGAAATGCCAAAGCCAGAGGAAGGGGGGTGGCGATGTTTGATGAAGGTGGGTGGGTGATGAAGGTGGGTGGGTGATGAAGATGAAAATGCAGCACTCAACTGTCACTCACTATCCAAGCTGCACTAACGTTGTGTTTCCTCTCGGAGCCTCTTGTCTGGTGTGAGAAATACAAGGATCTGAGCAGTCCTATGGAGACAATCCCTGCCCTTCCCTGCCTCCACCACCACCCCTCCTCCCTTCCATTCACAACATGCATCACCTTCTTCTGACCTCTATAGTGTGTCCTAAAGAGGGAATCCCCACCTCCACTACACCCTGCCTACATTCACAACCTGCACCACCCTCTTCTGACCTCTATAGTGTGTCCTAAAGAGGGAATCCCCACCTCCACTACATCCCCGCCTACATTCACAACCTGCACCACCCTCTTCTGACCTGTATGCTGTGTCCTAGAGAGGGAATCTCCACCTCCTCTATGCCAACGCCTTCATTCACATCCTGCACCACCCTCTTCTGACCTCTATAGTGTGTCCTAAAGAGGGAATACCCACCTCCACCACACCACCGCCTACATTCACAACCTGCACCACCCTCTTCTGACCTCTATAGTGTGTCCTAAGGAGCGAATCCCCACCTCCACTACACCCCCGCCTCCATTCACAACCTGCACCCTCCCCCTTCTAACCTGTATGTTGTGTCCTAAGGCAGGAATCCCATCTCTATAACGCCTCCACCTCCATATATGACCCACACTGCCCCCTTTTGAGCTTAATAGTGTCAGTATGTGAAATATCTATGCAACAGGTCAGAAATGATCAACAGACCGAAGGTAAGCAAGTAAATTCTACAGACAGCACCTGTCACATAACTGTATGGGATACACCTGGAATTATACTTTACGTTTTTTGAGCTAGGTGCAGGTAGACGTGGCATGGGGAAAGTGGAAGGACTAGGAGCATTGATGTAACTATAGCCATAGCAGCCCATGCAGCTGCTATGGGGTTTGGGGGGTGGAAGGGGCCCCGTTAGTTTGCTGAGGCAACTTAAACATAGAACATGTGAAGATACCTCCGTACTGTATCATTAAGAGTTGGAGTGGTTGCAGTTGAGGACAATTCTAATCCTATGTAAAGTCTACAGTGTAGAGGTAGAATGGCAGACCTGCAGGCTGCATACACGTGATCTCGGCGACTTCGCCGGGATCACTTGTACAAAACAAACGGCGGCTTTCCCCGCTGTACATTTATCTCTGCTTGCCAAAAGCAGGGCTAAATGTAGAAAACAACTACCCACCCAGTGACCGAAACTGCATGTCCCGGGCATCGAGAGATAGAAATTCCACACCCCTGCTGCCCCTCTACTCCCTCCTGCCAAAGGCCGGGCCTTGGTTGGCCTTGTGGGAAATACGGCCCTGGGTGTGGTAATTGCCTAGAGTGGGGCTTTTGTATTGGTATGATAAGAATTTAGATCCCCAAGTACAACATGGACCAGTATCCGAGGATATCCACGCTGCACTCCAGCGCTGTCTTCACCGTAACGCTGAGCAGACATAAAGGGCACACATTATTGCAGCTTTGTATTTATCAATACATCAATAAAACATCAATACGTCATCAATACTTTTTTGTATGTATTTTCTTACTTATTACCCAGAAAACCAGCCCCCCCCCCTATACTGCATGCACTCATTGTTGATAATGCATAGCAGAAATTGTAGGTTTATAGTAACTGGACACAACGTATCATTTTCCTCCTATACAATGTGACAAGCCGGGATAACCGGGAATTTGTTGCGACGCTCACAATGTCATTTACCCTGTAATTACGATGCGCCGTGATGCAGGAGGATTGTCTCCGCACTTGGAATATAAACTATGAGGAGGACAGATCCAACCGATCGATATCAGTAATAAAAATCCACTATATGGCGCAGACAGCAGAACAGATAGAAGACGCGACACGTAACTGAAGCGACGGAAAGGCAATGCCTTCGGACTTTTTTCGTCATGGGACATTTGTTAGGATGAAAACCAAGCGAATGGAACCGATTTAAGGGAATGAAAATCCCAATAAACAGTAAACGGCTTTCCAGCCTGTGACAAGATTGGATTTACGATGCTCCACTGGACGTTTGTCACTCATTGTCGGGTTCTTCTCTGTAGAGCAAAGTCTGACAATCAAAGGGTCGGGCCGGCAACTCAAACTCTGGCTGGGTTTTTATTCCCCATCTGGTCCCTGCTTGATGCAGTTCTGTCCTGCATCAAGAAGGGAATGTCTTGCAGGGATAAGTCTATAATATTGCCACTCTACACATCACTGGTTCGGCCTCACCTGGAGTATTCGGTGCAGTTTTGGGCACCGGTACACAGAGGGGATGTCCTTGAACTGGAGAAAGTCCAGCGAAGGGCGACCAAACTCATCAAAGGGATGGAGGACCAGAGCTATGAGACACGGTTACTAAATTTAAATATGTTCACGCTGGAACTAAGGAGATTAAGGGGGGACATGATTTTCACATACAAAATGTTCCATAGTCATAGCAACATTAGCAATAAACTCTTCACGATAAATTCCGTAACAAAGACTAGAGGACACCACCTAAAACTGGTAGAAAAAAAATTCAAACACAAGGGGCGTAGGGGATTCTTCTCAGTTCGCGCGGTTAGGGTCTGGAACTCGTTGCCACAAGCAGTGATTTCAGCTAATAGTCTGGAATCATTCAAGAGGCTTTTGGACGATTTCCTGAGAAACGGTAATATACAGGGGTACAAGTACTCCTAAAAACGAGATGACGCGAGGATCTTTACACCCACACACACACACACAATGGGTTGGACTTGATGGACATATGTCTTTATTCAACCTCAAATACTATGTAACTATGTAACTATATGTCCCATATGGTCCCTGTGTGTGTTGTACAGTAGTCACCGCTCCAAGCTCGCTCCCGGGATGGACTACAATCTCAGGTTTTGTTTGCTAATTTGTATTGAGATTGTAGTTCATCCCGGGAGCGAGCTTGGAGCGGTGACTACTGTACAACACACACAGGGCCCATGGGGAACAGACGTAGCCCCCCTCCAGAAGGAAGGACAGTGTCAGAGATGATTGGAGGATCTACAGCCGAGTGATACACAAATCAGATACATTGTTGCTCCGAGTTCAGGGACTTGAACTTATTTTTAAGGTTTAACTCCGGTTAAGTGTCACTTTAATGTGGGGTTGGTCGCCGACTGTTGCAGATCATTATGCAACGCAGTGCAAAAGGAGCATTCAAATCACATTAAAGGAGAACTCTGGGGTCAGGGCTTTTCCCCATAGTTCTCCTAGATTCCATTAGGTACAAATTAAACAAAAGAGTCCTACAGTCCGCAGTTAGAGGTATTATCTAACAATGTAGGTGATTTCAAAAAACACTGAGATGAGCTTCTCAGTTCACATTATATACAAGGGGTTGGATGTTTACAGGTTGGGCTAGATGGACCTGTGGCTTTTACCCCCCTACAAACTATGTATAGTGCTGCATTGGGGTTTTTTTCAGGTTTCACAATTGGTAAGATTCCCCCTCTGTATTTGCTCTGGTTACCAGTGTCACTGAGGCCAGGACCATCTCTATAAGGAGGCTGTTGCCTCAGGTTGCATCTTGTGAGGGGGAAGCAGGTAGGGCTGCTCTGCTGCACAATGTTTGCAGTGTGGCTGCCACCCCCTTTCTGGATTTGAGCGTCCCAGGTTGCTAAGAGCGAGGCGGGGAGATGTGTAAGGACCATACGCATGTCCCCGCCCAGCTCTTAGCAACCTGGGACGCTCTTGCCAGCATCCCGCCAAGCTCCTGGCAACCCGGTAATGTTGCTGGTTGTCAGGAGCTTGGCGGGACACTGCACATCCCTGCCCCCCTCCACCTCAGGCAGCTAAAAAGCTAGGCATGCCCCTGACTGAGGCAGAAGGTAACAGGAAATCCACATTTTTACAGTTGTCAACAAAACAGGAGTTAGGAGAAATCTTTCAATGGGAACATCTCAGATGGCGATGGTCATCCAAGAGGGAATGTCCACTCACGTTGGCAGGTCCTCTCACTTCCTGTCATGCCTGAAGTGAAGGTAACTCTCCCTTAAGAGGTTCCAACCTTTCTCGGCTCTATTCAAAATCAACTTTATTGCAGTGTTTCCCAACCTGTGTAACCTCAGGACCCACATTTGTCTTTTGTCATTAAGTCGCGACCCAAGTTGCACCACACTGCGGGAGGCGCGCTGCATGGGGTGCCATTCAAATAAATGGCAATGCAACACCCCTCCCACACCAGAATGCGCGGCAGGTGTGATTGCATCTTACAGTGCATTAATCACACGGGACTGTGCGATTAATAGTGTAATAGTGTGAACAGGCCCTCAAAAACACTGACAGACACACACAACCACACACACACACACATACATACACACACACACACACACACATACATACATACACACACACACACACACATACATACATACACACACACACACATACATACATATACACACACACACACACACACACACATACACACACACACATACATACATATACACACACACA